AGTTCTGTCAGACTTTGAAACTTTTCCAGTTGCACTGTTTTTTTTTTTTTTTTTTTTTTTTTTCTGTACCCAGAATGCATTTCGTGGTGTAAAAGCAGTCTTTTTTTGTCAAATAGATATGATTAACTTTAAAATAAATTGGATTCATTGTTGTCAGTGAGCGTGTTTAACAGCCATGGTGTCGCATGATTTTACGATTTTTTTTTTCTTAATGTCATCTGATTGAGAATGGCTGACAGAGAGTTGTCACATATTGACGTATAAAAAAAACTTAACTGAGATGACGTCATGGTAAGTATCATCATTCTTTACGAATGACAAAACAGCTGTTCTATCCATCGAACGGTATCTTTAACCAAATCCAAAGATTTAGTAGAAGCTACATGTAAACTAGTATTATCTTTCAGATACGAGTAGATTCATTTTTGTTTACGATGTCGTTCGATGTAAAAAAAAAATGGTGCTTTATAAATTTGTTGTGTCCAACCTGCTTTTTTTTTATTTACTTTTCAGTAACGCCTTAACTCAAAATTGTTAAATCCGAGTATGTTTAAGAGGAGCTAATTGACCAATAGGAACCTAAAAGTATTTAGCCAAATCCACTTAAGGTCACTTTTCCCTAGGGCAGTATGAGCCATCGTTTCTTAATAGTTTCCAATTTTATCGGATAATTTAAGAAATGTAGGCTAAAAATCATGTCAGTTCCGAATCGCTGACTGCCTGGCTGTTTATACCCTCGGGGACTAGCTGCCCAACAACAGCGATATCGACAAAATGCTTGACAATAACACTTTATAAATCGGGTTTGTTTCCCGATTTTGAACCTGTGGATGAAATATTGTGGAAATAGAACAACATCTTACATCTTGGCTATCACAAACTATAATGTAATACACTGTCTATGTTTTCAAAATTTTATGCACACTATTGCATAAGTACCGACTAGAAAAATCATGTGTTTGAAGAGCTTGAATCGTCAATTTTGATTTGACGTTGGCAACTCTTGATATACAGTATTCGTTAATGTTCCGAGTCTAGCATTCAGTCGATGTAAATAAATAATTTAAAAGATGACAGTTTCTTAATAACCTTGACCTTACATTCACTTATCTGCAGTAATATTATTGGTTCAGTATAAATACAGGTTGAGTGTAATATATGACCAATTGTGTAAGTGAACCATGTATACTTTACGAAGACAGTTACATGCATATGGGTTAATATAATATTATATAAATTATAAACAGCATACAGATTTATAGTTTGTAATTGTAAACAAGATAAGCCCATTATATATATAACTCGGTCATAGTATAATAGATCAACTAAGCATAAATATATACATTCTCACTGAATCACTTAATCTGTTACCATGATTGTTTTTATGCCCCCGCCGTAGGTAACGGGGGCATTAAGAGTTACCTTTGACCGTCCATCCGTCCGTCTTTCCGTCTGACTGTCCTTCCGTCCGTCCCATTTTCTTTTCCGCATTCCAAATGTAGTTTGCCTAATGCAAATGTTATGAAACTCATACACAATGCTAAGAACCACAACACGCAGACAGAGGACAGAGTTCGAATTTGGGTTGTGAGTCATTTACCGTTCTAGAGTTATGCCCCTTTTTAACTTGAAAATTGCAAAGCTTGAGCGGATGCATTTCGTGTCCTCAGACACATTCTTTTTTTATTTTTTAATCCATCTTAACTACCTGCTACAGATTTTTAAACAGTAATTATTCGAGCGCAACTGATGGGTGCTTTGTAGACGAAACGCGCGTCTGACGTGAAAAAATTATAAGCCTGGTATCATTGATAAGTCTTTTTTCGTCCATTTTACACATCATAAATTTTCAGTAGCATATCAATTATATGAAAAGGAAGTGGCGGAAGATACGAAAGGGACATTAAAAACTCATGAAGTCGTAGAGAAACTGACAAAGGTATTGGTCAACACGACTCCCACAAAAAACACGAGGACGACGTCATGCTCTCCTGAAGGATAAGCAGATCCAGCTCTTCATGTTGCTTATGGTCTGTACAAACATGGAGTATTATATTGACTTTCCATTTTACTTCCATGGTACAAATATAAAATAATGTGATAAGCTTAAGTCTCGTTCGGTGATTCCACAATGATCGCAGAAAAAATATTGAATGAGTATTGAAGCATTGGTTCTACAAAATGTACAAATTTCAATGGTAGTCTTCCGAAATCTCTGCAAATAAGACCACTGGACTAATACTTGACTATTGCAACTTGCATTGAGAATTGTATAAATTACAGTTGATTATGAATCGTACACAAATTAAAACCAAAATTTAGATCAACCTTCTGTTCATTCAAATAGGCATAGCTATAGAAATAAATCCTGGCATCAGTGGTGTGTGCTCCTACCATATCATGGAGTCAACAAAACTATTGTATATTACCTCACATGGCATACCGCAGAATGCCATAAATAATAAGCTTTTTAATTTCAGTTGGAGATATTTTGAGAGACTATTTTGTGGAGAGTTGTCTCCCCTAAAACAAATTTCTTCCACGATTCTTTGAATTATTCTGATTATCAAACTTTTATCAACTGAAAGCTAACTAAGTTTTTTTTAATATCAAATACCCCAAAAAACACATGATACTTTTTCGACAAATATTTCAATATATAGGGATTTTTGTCCATTGCTGTTTTCGGATTCTGGATAATTTAATGCGAAACCGCTCATTGATTGCACTCCTAGACTTCATTTCATTGTTTTACCCATCTAGTAAATACATGTAAATAAACGATTGTAAAACAGTGGATACCCGCCATCAAATTAATTTAAGAGAATAGAACGGTCTATTAAATTAAAACTGTGTATCATGTTTACTCATATCTTTTAAACTAAATGAGCTAACAAATAGATACAAATGATTGTATCATTCAAAGTAAGGATGTTTGAACAGTATTATATCATCAAAAACATTTACAGTTTTACGCCCGTCATTCGCTTTATTAAGGATAAGTCCGATGACTAAAAAAGATTGCAAAGCAAATAAGTTCGTTGTACGTGATTTTGTAGACTTACTTTTAAGATGAAATTAAATTAATTATAACTTGAAAGAAACAAGTTGTTACCAATGTTAAGCAATGAAGAAAGTCACTTATTTGATCTGCAATGTTTTGACATCAAAAAAGCAATTCAAAAGATTTGAAGTTTTCAGCATTCGTTTTATCTTATTTATGTTTTTTACTTTTTGTTTTATAAAATCTAATGTGTTAGATTGATTCAATAAAATTCTTTTTCTGTCGTCAAAATCTTTTTTTTTTCCAACTAAAGAAAACATAAAAAAACTAGTTTACGCCATCAACGGAAAATCCTGTCATTCAGCCATATGCATAACATTTCCAAAATTGGCCTTTTTAACTATAATGTATAACAAATTTATGAAAAAAATAAGGGTTAGCGAGCAAAATTGTTCATGCAACTAAATGGATTAAACCGGAGGATTACGAATATCTGCCAAAAAGTCAAAAACAAGATCAGCGAACATTCTTTGATTAAACAGCAACAACAATGTACTTCGTACAAAATAACAACCTACTGTTCTAATCGTTTGTTATATCAAAAAGAAAATAACAAATTCAAATGATGTATGTGTTTGGTTTATAGGTCCGTTGAGAACGTGCAAAAATCACGAGTTGGTTGACCGTTATGGAACAACCGTTTCACAGATGATATCGGATATGTTCCTTATGTCTAACTACAATACCCTCCCTTTCACGAATGTGACTTACCGAATTAGACTATTTACCGGATTTGTAATAACGTAAGCAACACGACGGGTGCCACATGTGGAGCAGAATCTGCTTACGCTTCCGGAGCACCTGAGATCACCCCCAGTTTTTGGTGGGGTTCGTGTTGCTTAGTCTTTAGTTTTCTATGTTGTGTCATTTGTACTATTATTTGTCTGTTTGTCTTTTTATTTTTGTCATGGCGTTGTCAGTTTGTTTTCGATCTATGAGTTTGACTGTCCCTCTGGTATCTTTCGTCCCTCTTTTTGAAGTATTCACGTCGGAATGAAAAAATACTTTGTCATGAAATGTTGAGCGATCAGATGAAATGTTAACCTTACATACAAAGATTGCTTATAATTTGAATTACAGTGGATAAACACAAAAGTTAAAACATGTCATATGCTGAATTTCGTGAAAAATGATTTAATTTTATAGCATTGTCTCATCAAAAGAAACGGTATTTAGAACTTATGGACACTGCTCAACTTTCGACAGACAGGATATTAAGCCAAAACGTTGAAGCTAAATATTGCAATAAATAAATTAGATATGCATTACCATGTTTAAAATGACATCATATACATTTCATGAAATTGTTTTAGATCTTTTGGAATTATTCCTTTAACTTAAGTCAAGAACGACAACTCAACAAACAAATAGAAAGAATCACAGTGATTGATTGATTGTTGGTTGCTTAACGTCCAGTGGCAAATATTCCATGCATGTTCAGGACGAGTATGAGAATCACAATGAAGGAATTATACTAAATCAAAATATAATACATGTACAGATGTAAAAATAATTGATAAAATAAACATAGTATAGTTACTTACTAACCTAAAATATATTAATATGAGCATTGATACAATAATTCAAAGCATAATCTTAATTTAAGGTCAAATTACAGTAAATGTGCTATGTCACAGATTTTGGTAAAATTTTGCATTCAACTTTATATCGTTGAACTGTACATGAAAATCGAAAACATAATGTATTTATCTCTTTAATTTTCTGAAATATTACTGATTGGATTCTTTCAAAATAGGGATCTAACATTTGTATAGAAAGCACATAAAATCGGCGAAAAACGCTCTTAAATTTGTCTTGAAATAATAAAATTTCCAATTTTAAATCCATAGATTCTTCTTGAAAAAAAACTATATGTTGTTGATACATAAATTTCCGTTTTAATGATTTGAAATAATTTAAGGTGAATTTTCCTTACCTAAAACGGAATATGTCCAAATCGTTTGAGCGTCAACTCGCAATATTGACTGTCTACAGCATGCGTTGGAGATTGCAAAATGTGCAAAATTAAATATCGTTAAATGAACATTTCCCTTTTGATCCCAAATCATTAAATTTCGTTTTAGAGGATGTTTTCTCTCTCCAGTGTAATTTAAATAATCGGTTGATATTGTGTAAGAGACCACAAAGATGACGATTTGGGCGAGGACGAAAGTCGCACGGGAAACCTGACAATAACACTGCATTACATAACGGTCTTAATCCTTTTTATATTGGACGTTTATGCTTTTAATGTAAAATTTTTCGATTGAATGAATCCAAAACACATTTTTAACTTTTGTGCAACAGTGATTGTCTCTTTTATTACGTCTCGTTAGATATTCTTTTTTCTTCACGTTAGTTTTGACCTTTGTTGTGAAATTTACATTTAAAGATTAACTAGTCTGCTGAACTGTGTTTTAAGTTCAAGACATCAGAAATAAATCGTTTTTGAATGTCACCATGCTCTTGATGTTTTAATATCATTTCAATATTTATTTATTTTATAGATGTGTTCGGAACTCCTCTTTTGTTATTTGGAGTTGTTCGGTTAAAATTTGATTTAACTTATTCCGCGTCTGTTTTTTTTTTTTTTTTTTTTTCTTCGCTGTCATGAATATGTATGAAATATTTGTCACATTAAACAAACAAAAAATAAATCTTTCATTTCCGTTCTAACTCCTGTGTTAGTATCCTTTCCCTCGATTTCAGAATTCATTACCGTTCATTAGGGATTAATTTATTTCATTATTTATATCATCAAAATAACATTGTCCTTGCTTAATCTCGATCGATCGACTTGGTTACTATAGTAAACTGAAAGTCATTAAGAAACAATTATTTTCATATTTATCTAATTGAAAGAAAAAGAAGGTATGTGTTTCCTTTTTCTCTCAATTTATTTAATTATAACAGGGTCTTGACTTTAAATGATCATTTTTTCATGTTTACCTAATTTATGTTATATATAATAGTTTATTTATTGTCGTAGCATATTTTAATGTCCACCCTTTCAAAATTTTCTTCCGATCTAGTTTTGACGTATATTTCAATTCTAAAAACAGTTAAACATATTTTTGTACCAAAGCATTTCCAAGAATCCACCAGAGTCCAGTGGCGTAGCTTGCCCTCTGTTATTACCGCAACACGGGGTGTGTAGAGGTTTTACAATTTGAACAAAAATAATCTATTAAAAAATAAAAGCGGCTGTTTCATTTTATTTCATCATAATTATGTTAATATGCCTTGCACTATGTTATACTATAGATTTATTAGTTGATTACTAGTAACTACGTCATTTTCAATGTTCAGATGACAAGTTTCTCGACTGGTTGAAAGTAACTGAAAGCCAGCTCAAATACCCAATCTGCCGATTTTTTTCCAAGCCGTCGTACACTCTTATATCGGTGGATGTACCTCACTGTCACATTCGCTTTTACATCGTACCAGAAAAGAGACAGGACCTTGTTTGATGGTCAGAAGAAACCTGTACAGAATTTCCAATGCAGAAAAACAAACGAAACGATTAAGGTTTCTTTTTTAAAAATTGTGATGATCGTTTATTTTTTTATTCGTGGCACTGGGTCAAAGAATAGATGATCATCACAGAGCGACGGAAACATTTAACAGCCGAATATCTTGATAAACTTGGAAGTAATTACATCATACATGTAAAGTGTGCCTTGGTACTTTTATTGATATTTCTTGAAAGGTCTTCAATTTGGACTGAAGAGCTGATACGTTTACATTTTCTTACAAGGTTTTGAACGTATTCCCATTGTAAAAGTGGCAACCGGAGAAGTATACTAACGGAAACATTTACGTTATTCTGAAGTCTAACAATATTTGGTTGATTTTTTTATACACTGCATGAATTAACAGACATATATAATACTATATATGTAACTGGAATTAATTACTCCTTTAAATATTTAAAATTCCCAACTAGTGAAAAAATTATAAATTTGAAATAGCGAGAATAAAAGTTGGGAACAACTTAAAAATTATTTTCTGTGGATTTTGAATGATGTATATTTTATTTTGATTGGTATCAAAGTCAATGAAACTCGGCGTAATTACAGTACTACACATAGGGGAAATGTCAACAAACAACGATGTTTCAATTTAAGACGTTACCGGTCATGTATGAAGGTTTCGCCCATAATTTCCTTTCTTTTATTTTATAGCACCCGTTTGAATTTCTATTCTTTAAAATAATTTCGAGGGCATTTATCTGTATTCTGTAAACTGCATCCAGACCCTCATATACTAGAAATTATTCTCACAAATAATTAATAATTTACTTGAATGGTTAAGTGATTCGATCGGAGAAGGGATTAGGCTCGCGAGTTGGATCATTATCTATTTCACTGAATTTGCTTGGTGTAGGATTAAAAAAATCTATAAGCTTCAATTGTGTCGAGTTCTTTCACTCCGACAAATTGAGAGAACTGAAAACTATTGAAAAGGGATTTCCAAATAGAGGAGAGAAATGTTTCCATAAGTCTTGAATTCGCAGATGGTATGAATCAAAAACGACAAACAAGACGATACAAGTCGGAATATAAGCGTTTAGTAGCAATTCTGCTGTATAAGGTGGAAATTGTGTAAAAGATTATAAAGGATTTTTTTTTTTTTTTACCGCGGCAAGTGCCTCGGTTGTCTCAACGTAAGCTACTCCTATGAAGTGTGTGAAGCCATTTTAATAAAAAAAAATGACATGTTTTAGTTTATGAGGCTTATCCTACTACACACCCGTGAAGTCATAATCAAATCAATTTAAATAGATATAGGAAGATGTGGTATGCGTGCATGCCAATGAGACAACTCTCCATCCAAGTAACAATTTATAAAAGTAAACCATTATAGGTCAAAGTACGGTCTTCAACACGGAGCATTGGCTCACACCGAACAGCAAGCTATAAAGGGCCCCAAAAATTACTAGTGTAAAACCATTCAAACGGGAAAACCAACGGTCTAATCTATATAAAAACGAGAAACGAGAAACACGTATGAACTACATAAACAGACGACAACTTCTGTACATCAGATTCCTGACTTAGGACAGGTGCAAACATTTGCAGCGGGATTAAACGTTTTAATGGTACCAAACCTTCTCCCTTTTCTGAAACAATAGTATAACATGTTTGTTTTGTGTTCTGTCAAAGGATTAGGCCCGGTAAGACACCTTTTTGGCCCCAAAATATAGCATTTTTACAAATTTGTTGAAATGTAAACTTTTAGCTATTTATTGGAAAGTAGAATACTTATGTTCCATAAATATTGGCTTTTTTGACAATACAATGCACATGCATCAGGTACTAGCATCATGAATTCATGCAAAATTACTAAAATCTTTACATTTTTAGCATTTGTGCTAATTTTAAGACGGTTTTTGTCTAAAATAGAAGTGGCCGCATTTGTGTTCAGTCTTTATATTTAAATATATGTTGTATATGATGATAATACATAATATATATAAAAGTTGAGACTGAACACGAATGCGGCCACTTTCATTTTAGACAAAAACCATCTAAAAAGTGACGTTTTATGGCAAATTTGATAGATTTTTCATATTAAAGCTTAAATTTGACATGCGCGTAGCTACGTTTACGTCAAAACGCCCGGGCGTACACATAAATTTTGAAGAAAAAAATATTTGAACCCAAATAAATTATAAGTACTGATTAAAAGCACACGAGCCTTGTATTTTTTTTCTTCAATGACTTGTAATTGGAGATAAAAGACAAAGTGACGAAATATACTTTTTAATCAAATGGTATCATATGATTTATTAGGTACTTTTAGGTCATATACATGTAGCTCTGTAACTGTTTCGGTTCTTATACATCCTCGGCTTTAAAATATTCGGCTTTGAGCGTTCCTGATGAAGGTAAATCAAGAAAAGCGCTTCAAACTCATGAAATTAATAATGTGTTGTTTTCAAATTTATATTATATTTTTTTTTTTCATTTTCTATCAAAGTCTCAATCTACTGTGAATTCTACTCAGTTTACTATTGTTTAAAGCAATTCATTATATGGTCAGATACGATGTGGCTTGCATTTTTATGTTACAGTTCAATATTTATTTTTACGTTACACCTGCCCATCTATGAAAATTAATTAGAACATATGTCCATTAACAAAATTTGAGTGTAAAAAGGTGAGTAAACTAGATCTATAAGGTCAAAAAAATTAATAGAACGACAACATTGAAATGGAGACTTGCTTTTTGACTATCTCTATATAAAGTTTTGATTTTTTGTCGATTGATTGTTTACCCCACATCTCCTTTTAAACCAATCTAGTTAAAATATATATCTCTGATTTCGTTATACTCATAAGATACGAGCATGCGAGTAAATGTAGATATAAATTTTAGATTGCTTTTAAACATATTTTTAAGGAACTGTTTTGAGCATTTTTTTTCTTAAATACATTACCATTATTATCCAAATCAATACAATGAGGAAATTTAACTGTAAAAGAACAAATTAGACTCTAAAAGAGACGCGACAGGGATATTCAAACTCATCAGTTGAAAACAAACTGACAATACCATGGCAAAAACGAAAAACTCAGAAATGGCAAACAACAGTATACAAAACACAACATAAGACTTAACAACACGGACCCCACCAAAACCTGGGGTGTTCTCAGGTGCTTCGGAAGGGTAAGAAAATTCTACTCCACGTGTGCAAACCCAGTGATAAGTCTAATTCGGTAGATCACATTAGAGGAAAAGAGGACGGGATTGTGGTAATATCAACAATTGGAACATATCCGTCGTCATTAACCTACTCGTTATGTCGAACGTAAAATTTCCGAAGGGATGATTTCAACTTCATCACTTGGAACTCTTGGTTCAGTAGCTTCCTTGTAAGCATCCACTATCTATCAAGGAAATGATGATAGGAAATGCAAGCTCTGGAATATCTTATCAACTGCCATGTATATACTCCATATGCAGGTGCTACTGGAATGTTGCTAC